ACTGACTGATAATCTGTTATCGGAACAGATGGAGGTTGACAAATGGGTTCGAGCCCATAATAAAAAGCTGTTGGTCGCTGATACCCGTGGGCTTTTTGGTATGATATTTGTTGACTTTGGTCCGGCACATATAATCGAGGATGACAACGGTGAACCATGTCAAGAGGTGCTGATCGAACATGTCGACAAGGTAGCGTTTGTCATGATCTGGTTATTTACTGTTCGTCTTGTAATGATTTATTATAATAGTGTCGAAAATAGGATTCTTTAAATTTGAGCCCTTTGTTGCATGGCTTGATTATTTCATTGATGCGCATTAATTATTTTGTATAATTGTTTGCTTGACTTCCTACTTTTTATTCGTCGGATTGAATTTAAAGAATTTGAATTTAGAATGTGATTATATGTGTGGCTTCCAAGACGAAACGATTCACTCCCTCAACTGGGCTTAATGCTTTGATTTCCCGTGGTTTCCTTTAGTTCATATACGTTTCGAAGAGAGTTACTTTTCTCCCGGTAACTTAAGCATCCACCAGGAACAAGGAATTTCAGCTACATACTAAATGTTTTATCTACAAAACCTGTTCAGTTCTTGGTCTAGAGCTGCTATCCATATTTAATGATCTTCTAATGTACTTTTCGTCATATTTTCGAAGTTTTAGCATTTGCAGTAAACCGTGTTTTATCATAGAATCTTTTGCTCTTAGTTTTCTTCAAACTGCATAAACCGTTGATAAATTCGAGCCTTTTTTAGTTGTCTGGTGACGTGACATGCCTCGAGGACACTCGCCACGGCTTCCAAGACGGGGACTATGTTCGCTTTTCAGAGGTGGTCGGTATGACGGAACTGAACAACGCCTTACCGCGCAAAATAACCGTTAAAAGTATTTTTTTATTTACTCCTACATGACGACATAAATACGATTCTGCGATTCAGATCCGTGTAAATTCAACATCGGTGATGTATCCAAATTTTCTGACTACGTAGAAGGTGGAAAGGCGAAACAAGTTAAAATGCCGTCAAAAATGAGTTTCGTAAGTTTTTTGTTTTTAATTAATATGTATATTAAAAAATTTCGTATATCGCCTACTGACATCATTTTTTAATTCTTGTATCAACCATTTTTGATATTTTACCCCCTCAAACAAATTTGACGTTAATACTTTTCGCCATGGCAGAAATTGTGATTTCTAATATTGCTTAAAAATAGGGCGAATACGAAAATGATGTTCAGATTCAGTAGTAGTTGTGAATCGCCCATAGTCCTTCGATTATGTCCTTGTCTTTTATAACAGTTCAGCTGAGACTACTTCGTTTAATGCAGATTGATCATCTCATGCTCCATCGTGATTGATTCTTATACTGATCCATTCTTTTTCAATTATAAACTGTTCTATTCGTATCAAGGTTGTGATTACCGTGTTATCCATTCACACAGCTATGTTCATTACGATCATTTGACCACCTCGCTTTTTTAGTTTCTTTTCGTCATTGTATACTCTTCGAAGCTACGTTGTGTTCGTGTTGAAACAACTTTTCTTTCCATGATTCTGTTTAAACGGTAAACCTTATTCTCTATATATACCTAACCTAATTCTGTTTAAATAGCAAATTTTATTCATTGACCTCATTAAACGTTAGCTCTCGAATGGCATTGGCTGTAACTGTTGTATTGATCGATTTGCACTTGGTTCCGATGGAAACGGTGGTTGAATTTTTCGAGTACCCATAACACCATTTTTCTCTGTTAGTATCGTGAACTTTGTCTTCGTTGTGTTGAATCCTTATTAAGAACGATAGATTCAGCGTTTTAACAGCTTCCACAAAATTTTCAGAGGAAATTATTGCAAGACGTTCTTCAGTTCCCATTAGTCGCCTGTTCCAGCCCAGAGCTTTGCAAAATAAGGTCCCAAAATAGGTTTCCTAATAGATAGAATCTGTACTGTATGAATGCAGTACGATGATAAAACAGTTTATGATACTGATACGTGACAATTTTATGCACCAGTTTGGTCATGATCATATTGGCAAAATCTGCGAGATATTTCAGCACATAACCGCATTTGAATCTCTTCGACCTTTGGTGTAAAATCAGTTCTGACTTCGCTTAAAGTGGCCTCTGTTTTCGCATCATTTACATCTGCTTGCTATTCTAGTTTAAACAGGCCGGTCAACAGCTAGCACCCTATCGTTTTCCTTGCGACCTTACTCTGCATCTTTCAACTTATATCCTTTCTTAGTGTTATTCAGTAAGGAACCTATCGGATTCAGTGCCAAACAAAATTGAAGCGGCAATGTTGCGTATCCCTGAAAGATTCCTTGCTTGATCTTCACCGATCCCAGCAAAACTGTGTTATGTAGCAGTGTTGTTCATCGCTGCTTCGAAAAACCTTATTAGGCCCTCGTTGAAGATGTAAAGTTTTAGGCATTTCAGGATTTAGTTATGTCATACTAGATCAGATGCCTTCCCAAAGTCGGTCTCTACCATGACTATACTTGTTTATTTCGTTTTTCAGTTTGCAAGTATTGCGCCTTGTCCACGAGTAATTGTCCATTGGATACTCTTAATGTCGTCCTTCAGCCTGTTGTACAGGAAACATGATGCTGTTCGCCTCGCGATTATCGTGAGCTGCACTGGTTGATGTAGGCATCGGGAATTTATGCTGAGTTTTTATGTGCTTAATCGGCCTGCAGTTGCCACAAACCCTGTTCTCATCTTACAAGATTAGTCCCGTCACTCCTTCCGTTACCAAGCAGGTATTCGTTCTTTAAGCACTCTGCACGAATACTGCTATTAGTGAGTATATACACGTTAGCCGTTTAAGCCAGAACGCATGCACCTGATTCGCGCCTGGTGCCATCCAGTTTCTCATTTTTCTGAGCGCTTCCTGCAAATTCTTTTTGGTAACTGGGACATCTCTTACTTCAGAGATTCCATTTTTGTCTATTTTGTATTTTTTTTATTCGATAAGCTACTCTGTTGTGTCCGTTTTCATTGTTCCATATCCTTTTCTACAAATGAAGCAATTTTTTTCATTACGACCAACGATCTCCGCATTACTAGCGGGTTTGTTCTTCGCCTCCACTTTTCTATGGAAGGTTTTAGTGTTTTTAGCAAAGGTGATTCTGTTCTGTGTGTATCACTCGAACCTGTTCTGGTTAAGCTTTACTGTTACAACAAGCAGCCTCTGTTTATGGCCCTTGTAGCTCTCTGTTTTGTCTGATAGAATTCTGAACTTTTTCCGGATATTCGGCGTTGATATCTTTATGTAGTCATATTCAGTTGCTTTAATTGGATTCTTTCTCGCGTATTTCTTCCTGTTAATTGTTCATCTTTCTCAACTGTGGTGACGTTTCCTCTTCCTAGACTTGTTTCCAGCTTAATGCAAAGTTTCTTCATTACCACAGCGGCTTGGCATTTATCACACCATTAATAAGTTTCAATTTTCAGATTGGTATCGTCCTCAGGACAGTGACAGCTTGCGTGATATATTCATTCAGCTGTCTGTTGCCACAAACATGAAGGGTACGTCTCTGAGGTTCTTCAGACTCTTTCCTTTCAAACTTCTGAAGGATCTCTTTCCGAAGTGACGTTTCTTTGTCATACAGCTGGATATCTTTCTTCAATGCAGCCGTTTCTCTCTGTCATCTCAAAGCTTTGCCCAGGATGATTCCGCTAATGTAGCGTTCTTCTGATCTCATCCATCTGTTAGCAGCTTGTTCTTCTCACTGGGTAGTTTATGATCCACTAGATGTTTCTCTCTTGCAACCCTGAAGGAGTAGGGGCTTCTTCCATTTTTCGGTATAGCCCTTTTCGTGTTTTACAGCAATCCAATAGCACATAATTAAAATCTTGTTATTATTCTCCGACCATTGCTTGCCCACCAGTCGCCATCGTGCCATTTGTCCCGGCGCAGAAAAACGTGAAACAGGTTCTGCTTGCCAGATTATTACACACCGGTCCAGTCCCTAACAGCTCGCGCTGCTCTTGGTAACCCGGGCGTAGACCAGTCCTGTATGGA